TAGTGAAAAACTCTCCAGTGAGAAAAGAGTTAAGCATGCTGTTTCCGTTTCTGATCGTATGTGTCGTGGGCGTGCACGAAAACTAAAATCAGTCCGGAAATCTGTGCTGAAAATAGCCGGTTGGCGCCTTACGGTCTTTCACGTGGGTAGGCCGCGACGTAGGTAACAAAGGTTGCATAGAGAAGTTTACAGCCGTGAGAACGACGAACGCCTATTGAATTTCGAACGTTTGCGTCTCTAATAGAGATTTAATCGTGCTCCCAAAATACGTTTCTCGCAATCGACACCGCGGACATCGCCGTAATTTTAGATTATTGTTTCGCCTTTATCTCGCAATCGCGTTCAAGGTTGGAGTAATCTCGCGTCGAAAGGCACATTGACGCGTAATATATCGAACAGAATGAAAGGATATAGATCACTTAAGGCAGCCTCACCATATGCTTCTATACAAGCAATCGATGGGTCTCAGCAGCTGCAGATTTCTTCAAATTAAAGAAGCTCCCGCAAATGACGCTTATTCGGCTCAAAACTTGACATTTTCACATGAAAAAAGATATATGATACTGATACAAAATCGCTAATATTTCAAGGTTATGTTGTTGCCAGATGTCCAACCTTACGATATGACGTTTTACAGCAGACAATTTTAACCATAACATACTGTTGGCGCCATCTTTTGTCAAACGGCGGAAACTTATTTATACATAAACCGTCTATAAATCCTACTTACACTATGACTAATCTTTAGGATCTCCTTAAATGTTTAAAAAACGGAGACGAGAATAGAGCATTTTAATATCTTAAAATTAAACACTTCTTTTTTTTTTTTTCCGTGTACATACAGCTTATAAATGGTGAAATTCACTTTCTGGTTCACGCAAATGGAAAAAGTAGTAATCATAATTGTGAGAATAGTTCTTAATGCTCGCGAGAAAATTTTTATACGCAGTCTTTATTCATTTGGATCTCGTTACGGTGAATGCATCACGTTACAGAGAATCGCGTGCTATGCGCATAAAAACCGGCAGCCACAGCGGTGGCGTCGATGCAACGCGGACACGCGCACTCTGCTCTTTCACACACCAGAGAGTCACAGTCACGGTCACGCTTCGAGGGTTGGACACTCGATACAGGGTAGGGCACGGTACAGGAGCGCAACGTCGGCGAGTCTGAATGAGGGAGAAAAAGGAGAGAGAGAGAGAGAGAGAGAGAGAGAGAGAGAGAGAGAGAGAGAGAGAGAGAAAAAAGAGAGAGAGAGAGAGAGAGAGAGAGAGAGAGAGAGAGAGAGACGAAGAAGTTGTGGAGTAGTATCCATTGATCCCTGCACCGATCTGCCTCTCTATCGCCGTTTTTCCATCTAAGTAGTTGACAGATATTTGCGTGTTCGATTATTATTGCATACTATTTGCAGTTTTGTATCTGTCATTACAAACAACAATTCACTTTATTCATTTTTTATTTGATAAATATTTCAATCGTATCTTCTTGATCTAATTTTTATATAACTCGGAGAAAAAAATATATTTTAGGAGATCAAATAAATCGCTAAACTGTTGTATTATCATAATTATCATATCATCAACGTTGTAATTCTTGCTTGATTACGCGTGTGTTTGTTTAATTACAGTCTTAAATAGCCAGCTTTATCTTTCAAATTATTATTACATTTTTTTCTGTATAATCAGTATAATATAGATTTACTTTTTAAAGTTATTTGTTCTCATTACAATCCTATCATATTATTGTATCCTGATTAAATTACTTCCTTTCATTCGATCGTTACTTGTTCCTAGGGCGTACTTTCCGGAGCACATAGTAAACTTTTACTGCATTCTGTTCTCTCTCTCTCTCTATCTCACACAAACACACATACACACACAATAAATAATGATATCTACCTATCTCTATTTACACACGTCACTGGTATTATTTCTTTTCCTCTGCTGTCTTGCTGTAGATGATGGATAATTGGGGGGATATTCCTGTATCGTACACCTGGACATCGACACACTGAGTTTCTCCGAGTTTCGGTTCGACATTTTTTCCGCCTAAAAACCAGCAGTCTCTCGCGCCTTCAGGTAGAACGTAGAAAGTGCCGGTCAGCCAGATGCTGAAAAGTGCGAATTGCAAACGATTTCTCCGCGACCGGCATCTCACTAGGACGCTGATAGTAGTAGGTATAGCTCGAAGGAGTAATTAACACCAAAAAGGTCAGCCGAGGAATTATTGAGAGAGAGAAAGAGTATAAAAACTTACGCGTGTTTAGACTTGATAAAGTTGACTTGTAGGTCGCATATTATACGAAAGTTGCGATCTTAACGAGTGAGGATTAAGCGGAAAATTATAAATTATTCCAAGTTTTACGGGAGCAAACTTCGACAATGTTTGGCGAAAATATTTTCCGGCAACAACTTTGTCGCCGCCACTGGTACGCGTAATGCAATTAAAATACGTAACAAATATGACGTATATCTTATCTTTATCATACGACTCGGCAAATGTTTGTTATGCCGTGAGTAGCTCGAGTATCGAGAGCGAGGGATCGTACTATTTAGTTTCTGCGTGTCATTTTGCGTTGCGACCGCGGCCAGACTGAACATTGAAAGAAGTAACGGAAAGTCATTGATCTTCTTATCGCTCATAAAGCTCAGTATAGTAGATATTGCTAATTGCAAGATGATGTATTCTAACACATATTCTCGAATAAAGTCAAGTCGTCGCCACAGATTACTACGACAAAGTTAAAAGTGAAATGTGATAAGTGTAAACAATCGAGCACTGTTGTCAAACAAGATGCGTTCAGGATGTTCCTCTCATATAAGCATCTGTGCAGCGCATACGTTCGCGATGTGGCGTCGTGATTCCGAGGAAGAAGTGGTGAGGGAGAATTCTCCGCCACATCCTTCGGCTCGCGAAGGGTAAGCAAGAGAATCACAGCGGAGGAACCGGTGTACTATGCAGGTGATGTATACGTGGTTCCCGGGAGGGGAGGGAGGAGGGAGGTCGGGAAGAGGTAAGAGGTAAGAGGGGGAGAAAACGGGCGAGCGAGTAGCGTTGCGCGGGAGGAGAGTCCGCAACTAGCGGAGCGGAGTGGAATGACGAACCAGCGGACGAAGAAGAGAGAACAATCGAGCGAGCGAGCGAGCGAGCTAACGGGGACCAGAAAGGAGAGCGGAAGAAGGGGAAGAGAGTCGTACTCGTGCGTGCGAGAGACCGAGAGGGAAAATCCGGTTGCCTGGCGACGAGCCATCTAGTTCGATCCCAGCCATCCACCCGACCAGCCACCCTCCTCTGGTCTCTCCTCGTCATCGTCGTGGTCGTCGTCGTCGTCGTGGTCGTCGTCGTCGTCGTCGTCGCCGCCGCAGGAGCGACGATACTGCCGTGTCGAGGGAAACTGTGCTCCGTTCGTTTCGCTCCACTCTGTTATTTCGTTTTGTCCTGTCGCCGGCTCCGGTTTTCTTCTCGAGAGCTAAGAGGAGTTCGCCATCAGGAGAGAGAGAAATATATATACACATACATATAGAGAAAGAGAGAGGGGGAGAGAAAGAGAGAGAAGGGATTCTTCTCTCTCTGTCTCTCTTAAGAGATTTTCTCGTCGTTGATTGTGTAGGATGCGCTCGGTACGCGAGATCACGGATACGATACCATTGCTAGCGCCTCCATTTCCTATATTCACAACGAGCTCTCTGGGAGAGTCAAAAAAAACTCTGTCCTGATCGCAACTCTCTCTCTTTCTCTCTCCGCGTTTGTGAGGCGTTACGAGCACGGGACAATTCGATATCCTGGACGTGGTGATCGTCGGTTGTGAATTTCCGACACAGCGATATTTCCGTAGGACATTTCGCGTCGAGAATTATCCGACTGATCTCTTCTGTGGTGTGAGTATGTGTGTGCTTCGTCGGTGTCCGTCTATCACTTCAACGTGACAGCGTGGGAAATTGTGAGTATTACACCCTCGCTCCTCCTTCCTCTCTCTCTCTCCCCCCCCCTCTCTCTTTTTCTCTCTCTTTCCTTTCCTTCCGGCGAGAGGGAAAGAAAGAGGGACCGCAGTGGCAAGTGCGTTTCCCAAGGACGTCGTCCCAGCGCATCTCTGAAGACTAATACGCGTACAGGTGGTGTCCTTTGCCCGTCGTAATAAAGAAGAGAGGAACTGCGCCCGGCGTCGTTTGTGCAACAAAATTATAACAGCAATGTTCTTGCATGGAGAAGAAGAATAGACAGGAACTGCGGTGCGTTCCTCGTTCAGGAATGATTTTTTTCCGAGAAGTGAAGGCAAAACGAAATTAGTGTTTCATATACACAAATAATATTTATCTACTCAAAATGAAAACGTATAAAATGAGTGTGTTTTGTAAAATTAAGACAAATATAAACGTCTAGCAGCAACATTTATAACGCCGAAAGCATTATGTATCGAATTATGTAACTTATTGATATGCTATTTCGTCACTAATCAGTCCAATCCTCATAAGCTAAGGATTACAGCTGTCATATAAAAGGAAAGAGAATAAGATATATTCATTAAAGAACAAAATAAGATTGACAATTACCAAAATATCTAAATCAATTAAAGAAATACGAGTTAACGGGAGATTGATTTATAAAAGAGGACGAAAGATGAGACGGAATCATCGCTTGTGAGATTAATCCACAGAGAGAAATTAAGGATAGGAAGGACGAGAGAAAGATAAGAAAGCAACATATCGATTACAGGAAGAATTCACGAAGGTATTATTCTCTCCCGGAGATCGACAATAAAAAGTGGAGACGAGGAAGATGAACCAGGATCGTCGAGGTTCGCGGAATTGTGCAGGCAGGATCGTCCTGAGAATGACAGCAACGGCGGTGGCCTTCGATGGAACGCCGTCGTACGGTTCAACGACTTAGAGCTGTGTTTATACAGTTCTATAAGTTACGCGCGAGATTTACGCTTAATTGCGACTGTCTCTTTTCGGAACGTAGCCGTAATACGTCGCCGGATATCGGACGTCGATGGCGACGTAAAAGCTTATCTTGACTGAACAACGAAGAGAGGACACCTTTTTCCTTCTTCAGCATGCAAATGCGGAAGAAATCGAAGTAAGAGAGAGAGTAGTTCCTACTGCGAAAAGTACCATTCATGGCGAATACGTTCTTTTGAATGATATGGCAACTTCTGCAGCAGAATCCACAACAGAGCGACGACTATCCATCGAAATCTGCATTATTTGAGATTAAAATGCGATCTTTTTGATTGGCCGCGCACTTGTGCGACACGATTCACGATAAAAATCTCACAGATGTGTAATCTAGATTAAGTACGCTCCGTGACAAGAAGAGACTGTCTCGTCTTTGGAAGAGAGTCGACGCATTTTGGTAAACGGATTTCTTTTTTACGGATAGAAGTCTGTGAAATATTTACGGCATCATGTTTCAATGCATCATCCAGCAGAGAAACGGTTGGATTCATCCCTACACTCCCGATACCAAGGATGTTTTTCCAGGTACCATGAAACGAAAATCTCTTAATATAAATAAGTATGACAGATTGTATTCGACTCTTAGCAGCCGAGAGATTCCAATAGAAATTAAAAAATACGATTTAAGGTATGAAGAAATGATACCTATACAATTAACTATCAGTGTTCAATCAAAATGTTGTATAATTTTTATAGCACTTTCTATAGTAAAATATTTAATATTTATATATATTAACATAATAAGAGAGAGATAATTGATATACAGTCCTAAATGCATTATGTGCCATATATTGCGTATTTATATTTTATATCTTATATCTACATTATTCAAGTGTATTACAACTTTTTAAAATGCTTATAATATCTGTATAATTAATTTGTGATACTACTATCTCAGTTTAGGATTACATTTTAAAACCGAAAATTGTTTCAACGCGCAGATTTACAGATTTGGATATGTACATAAATTCACATCGCGCGAAATTTTATTTAAACCCGACTCAAGATCCCGACTCATGAAGCTTTCTTTCTTATTAATTAGTTCATTTGATATCTTAATGACATATATTGTTATTTAGAATGTTTTTTTGTTAAACCATGATATTTCTCAAGTCCCTCTACTATTTAACACAAGCTTTCTTTTAACACATATGAAATTATAAAAAACGAATTATATTTTACATGAAGGCATTTATTTGTATCACTAGAAACTTTTTTGTTGTAAATCTTTTTATGAAGAATCATCAGAACGTGTCAGAATCTTATATATATAAATTTAAGGAATAGTGATTAATATTTTCGACTAAAGGCTATATACAAAATGATTTTTTTTACTGTATAATGTCATATACAATTATACAGTATGGAAGATTCTATATACAAAGGATGTTCGATATATCGTAGAATGGGGGTGCGGGCATTCGTTATATAGCTTTAGAATTTCTGACAGTGAGTGGAATACGCGAGGGAGCGTATGACGCATAGAAAAACATTGAAAGTTAGAAGATAACTCGTATACGAGATAACACCGTGGACATAGTAGTAGCTAGCAAAGCGGAAAAAAAGAAGGGGGGAAAAAAAGGTAAAATATGGTCGAGTACAGAGAACGGTAGACCTCCACGGTAAAAAGTTTCACAATGTCCGATCATAGTTAATTTCACCGATAATCACCGGTTAGTAAACGCCAACGGACTCATGTTTATTGTTGGTGAAACGCGAAAGTTCAAACGGACAGAAAGCGATTACATTTGATACAACTCAAAGTGCAGACGGATCAAAATTTCTCAATTCTCAATAAGGCGCTTTGAAGCTTTTCATTTCGCATTAAATTAATGTCCCTTTACTTTCAGTATCGGCGATATTTAATATATATCCAATTCCGATAATTAGATATAATTGTGCGTGAAAAGACAAAACTAAAGCGCTGCTTTAATGGAGAGTTCTGAAGTATGTCAAGAATAGAATTCTCTATTTTTAAATTTTATACCTCGCAAAAGCAAGGTTCTAATATTATTTGAGTTTACCAATGCCGTATGTAATTTTACAATCGATTTTACATTAAATTTAGAGTCAGGATTTTCTTAATAAAACTATCGATATATATATATATCGCTAATTGCTAAGACAATTAATGATATAATTTAAAAATTGTCACTTTAGTTTTCTTGCAGAAAAGTACGAAAACAAAAAAAGAAAATATAAAATACAGTTAGAAAACAATGTATTTTTATTCCTTTACAATTAACTATTACATACACGTAAAAATTTTATTTCAAAATTAATATTACAACATTTTAATAATTCAAAAATATTCAAACTTACTTTTTGGATAACTTCGTTTTTTAATTGCGTTTTTTAATTGTAAACAAACGGTACCTATATTTAGCTCAAGACTGTTAATGAAAACTTATTGTATATGAATAATGCGTGTTATAGAATTAGACAAAGGTCATATCGGTACACAAATCATTGATACTTTTTTACGCTCAAAAATTGTTATACATACTAAAAAAGGTAACGCCGCATGTTTGTGTTCGCTTCTTGTCTAGCCGCTGTATTGTTTACTATTCTTTTATTACTATTTACTGCTGCAACGTTCTTTAACAGTGCACGCATACGGTACAAAAGGGACGCGGAACATTTCGGTCGATAAACGTGCGTGCACGACGAAACTCGACGCCAAAACAGGAAGCCGTTAAATTGACACGTCGACGAAGAGGAGGAGAACGTGCGTGTGTGCGGGTTGCGTCGTGTTTTCTCCACGGCTGCATATGTGTGTGCAACGATGTGACACACACGTCAAATATATACATATACTCGTATAAAGGATTACACTGGCGCTTCTAGCTCTTAATTTTCAGGAAAGACGTAAATAGGACAAAAATTATTGCATTACTTTATTAACAGTCACTCTGTGAGTTTTTAATAAAATTATAAATTTGTTTCCTAAATGGATTTATAAAACTTAAAAAAAAAATGAAAATAGATTTTTATAAATAATCGATTAAATTAAATAATATTATATAATCCTCAATTTTGTTTTCTTAATTTTCTTATTTTTATTGTGAAATTTTAGAATTTTTTATACTTGGATAATGTATTTCCCCGACTCGAAAAAGATGGAAATAACAATTATCTTAAATCTTTTTTAAAATCAATTTTACATCGAGTTGGATATAATGCTTTGCGATAATCTTTTACATTATTTTTCATATTCGAATCATTGCGTGATAACAATAAGTCAACTTATATATTTTGGAATCTTTATAACTTCCATCGAATAATCAAACAAAAGCAATAATAACAATTTTTTTTACTCATATTGGACCCATTTAAATGCATGAAATTAAATGAATCTAAATTAATTAAAGTGAAAATATTCACAGAAATATATGATCTACACGCGATATAGAAGTAATTTAGACAGAGGGTTTAAGATAGTCGTACGAGAAATATCTGCAACGATGCCTATGCGTGTGTGCGTGCATTACCATACGTTGCCCCGCCAGGTGCGTCCGACGGTGTACGACATCAGACGATGTCGATGCCCGATGTTTGTTATCGAGTAAGTCGTTGATGTGTCGGCTGACGTTTGTCGACCTGTTCACGCGATATATAAATAGCCTGACGCGAATATGCAACAAAAGCGACAACAAATATGAACAGTAAAAATCTCTTAAATATGTGCGTCCCTGCATGTTGAAAAAATAATCTTCGCTTTCTCTGAATAATAATTAAAATACTCGAAGTAACGTGAATTGTATGTATATCTGACGCATTTCTGTAATCGATTTTTATTTCATGTTTATAATCAAATTTTTAATAGCAAAAACGACAAAGCGCTAATTTTTATATCTTATTATGTAAAAGTATAAGAGATTCTATAAAAAATTTTCAAAAATTTTTTTAATTCTTTGATTTTAAATGGAATTTATTTAAATAGAATTTAAAATATTTCTTATAGAATGTTGTTTTTTATATAGATTAACTTAAAAGAAATGGCATAACTTCGAGACACCCGTATTTGTGGAGTGTGAATTTTCGATTGCACCGAGCGCGAAGGTTGATAATAAAAATAGTTCACGACGGGAAATCGCCAACACAAAAGCCGAGATCTCATCCGCAATCGACGTGACTGTTCATCGTTTCCCCGGTCAAGAGTTAAAATTTAAATAATCGTCACTATCTATCCAATATCGTCGAATAAAAGCAATTACTTGGTTGACGTTTCTCTTTTTTTGCTCACGAACGGTTGTGCAAATAATCCGTTTTGCTTGTAGTTTTCATTATATTTCTTATATTTTTTGTTACTTATATCTTTGTTATAATACTCCTGACATCATTAATCAATTTCTTAATAAATATTCTTTAATTAATGAATATTAGATATAATATAGAGATACCCTTTAAAAGAGAAAGAGAGAAATTTAAACTAATGTATGTAAAATGTATTAAAATGTATTAAATAAAAAAGCTTTTAGAAAGTCTCTCCGATTTTCAAAGCGCGTTGTCGAGAATTATGTTAATCATAGGACGTACTTTAAGGAGCTTGTGCGCGATGCCGAAAATGGAACATTTTGCGTCGTAGAATTTCATGCTACAGAGTTCGACGCTATTCGTCAGTCGACTGTTTCTCGCGGACACACACACAGCTTTTTTCCCCGAGCGTTCCCGCTAATTGCTTCGTGTGCAATTGTGTCGAGTATGAAAGCGACATTGGCGACGCGACAAATTGAATTCGTTTGTGATCTTTAGCCGCACACGGCAGAACTGCGCGTTTGGCTCAACCGCTTAAACGCGGCGGAGAATTTCAGTTTCAGAGCGAGAGATGTTGTTTCGCCAATTAATTTCCAATTTTGCTGATAAATCATCTCGATGACCTCGCGCGAGTTTGCTGTAAGTCATAATTGTGTTATACACGGATGAGAGAGAGTGAGGGGTGGGAGGGGGAGGAAAGAAGAGAAATCGTCATGAATGCGAGTCGAAGAACGATCTCATCTATGTAATTAAGACGTAATTGAGAAAACTTGCTTTGCGTGAAAATATTATTTTTCATTAGTTCACTTTCAGTTAGTTTCCTTAAATCAAAATTGCATTATTATAATTAAAATTTTAATTCTAAAATTTAATTCTTTGAATGCACTAATAGGGAGAGAATTCTTCGATGACTTTGATCTTCACATATGTTATCAAGTTCATGACTCTGAGTGACCTCTAAATAAGTTTTAGCCCTTGTTCGTTATTTATTAAAAAATTATTAACAAATAAAGTTTGTACAAATGTCTTATTTTTACTATATATAATATAATTGGCGCGCTATTATAGTTCTGAGATAATTATATTTAAAACACATATTGAGAGAGATACTCTAACAATAAGTTTAATCGTAATTAGCAATCACGTGTTTAATTGATGTATTAAATCACAATATATCGATCCAACATAATTTATATATTCAGTAACGCGATGTAATTATTTAATGTTGTTAAATAATTAAAATATAAATCATTAACAAATCCATTTTT